GTGGCCTGGGAGGAAATTGGTTGTCTGAATCTTCATTTTCTGTCCTTGATTTTGCAGTTTTTAGTTTAGAAGGAGGCAGCAATAGTTATATTGTGGGCAATTTTAAAATAAAATCTCTTCTCTAGTCACCCTGCTTTGTACTGGAGGTATTCCAGCAAGTCACAGGTTTCTTGATACTGTCCTCAAAGAAGCATTTTGGTTGCTGTGACAGCCACTCCTGCACTGCAAATCGCAGCTCTGCTTACTGCCCAGGGTTCATCACCTACAGATATGCAGCTTTTTTTAACCTCTCCACCCATTCAAAAACCTGCTTTTGAGCCACATGGTTTTAACACTGTCCCACAATTCTATGGTGAATTTCACTAGGCAGCACACCTTCAACCCACAAAAAAGGAATGACGGAATACTTCTTCTGGGCACACTGACAACTACGTGGCCACACTGTTTACATGCTTGCTAGCATCATACATATGCTTTGTGCAAAATGATGGGTGCGCTCAACAGTGCTGCCAGTAGCATTCCCTGCTGCATTGTAGTTTCTCATTGTCACAGATTTGCAATGTGGGCAGTCATTTTGCCATTAGTTTTTGAAGCACCCTTCTACTGGCAACTCTAAGCTCTTTTAAAAGTAATTATTAATGAAGATAAATTTTTATATAGATGCCATTTATAGGTGGCAGTAGTATAATAAAAGTATTAGATGGAAACCATCTCACGTTGAATTGTAACTGTAGATCACCATCCTGTACAAGTAGATGTTGCGATAGATGGTATTTTAGATAACCGACTTGGGTCAGTCCAGGGGATGGCCTTTGGTTTGGAGACTTGATCTTTCACCAGTCATGAAGTTCCATGGCTGGGGGTGCACCAATAGAGATTTGGGAGCCAATACCAATAGCCAATTTTTAAGGAGGCATATTGGCTGATACTGATCCAATTTCTGGTATGCAGCCTGGCAGCTTGGAGAGCTGTGTGCACCTGGTAAGTCTGGTGTGGTGGAAGGGGCAGAGGGACAGATCAATGGGATGCCCAACTGGGGCGGGGCACGGGATGGAGCTGTGGCTCATGGGGGGGCTTCTGTTGCTGCACACACCCTGGGAGGACGTGAAGGGGGGGCACCTGTGGGCTGGGGCCAGGGTGGAGTTGGGCTCTTCTTGGCATGG